CTCATTATTGTCCTGCTCGTCAGCATCTTTGCAGCACTCCAACTGGTTACCCGACTGTACACGAACAGAATGTGGCGACAGACTATCCCGGTCATCCAGTTGGTTTCACGACAGGGGACTGTCGTCAACGTCCGGCGTTCCAGCGGCAAATAAGCTGCCCGGAAGATCCGCTCTCCGTCCCTCGTGGTGATAACAACTGCAGCATTATAACAACCGACCATGCGACTACTACGAAACGCCTAAGCCTACGCTATAACTCGAAATTGAACAATGTTCCATTTTTCGCTACCCAAACTCCACAAGGAAACGCAGTTGGTGGTTGGGTGTATGTTCCCGAACCCATTCGCGTTCCACGGTCTCAGGATGTGTATAATGCGCTAAGAACATGCCTCGTTCCACATTACGAGTTGCGTGATTGTGAGTTCCCCCCCCCCCCCNNGATCGAGTTCATTTACATACACAAAGTAAACCAATAGTCTAAGCACATTGATTATACCATTTGAATTTGTTAGATGTGGCAGCAATACTTACGGAGACGTTCGTTACCTGTTACAAACTAGTTCCCGTTGCTTTTGGTCTCATTGGTTATGAATGAGGTTTTTATTTACGTTACGTTCGTGCAAAATGTGGACAAATGTGGAATGGTTATCACGACAATTAGGCGTTTTATCACTTCGGTGTATAAGAATTCCCTGCTCAACTTCTCTATCCAATCAATCGATCTGCTCCACTGTCTGTTCTCTCTCTCGTTGTTCGGCCGTGTCTGTTGTTTCATTCCGTCAATCGATTGAGGGTAGCAGAATAAACTGAATAATGCTGGTGGCTCAAACTCAGCGTCCTAGGGTTTCATTTGCATTGTCCCTCTCGCTATCACTTGAACTGAGACGGACGGATGGACGGACAGTAGCACTAGGACAGGCAGTCGCGCATGTGTTTACGCACTACGAACACCTACCCCTTGTCCTTCCCTGTCTTTGGCAGATACGTGTGTGAAATTCTCCCCCTATACTAGGATGTAATAGGATTTCGTACTTTCCTCTCTGTCCCTTAGACAGACTGCTTCCCGGTAAACCATTTCCATCCGTATGTGTGAGTTGTGCGGACTGTGGCCGTGCGTGTGTGCTTGTGTTTATATCTGTAGTATCTGTATCTAGTTTGCTTTTAGCTCAAAGTTCACCAGGCATGCCGTCCGTGCTTGTGTTTAGGCCTGTGGTGAAATGATAGAGGCACGTGACCAGGTTCACCTTTCGGCGCTGTATTCGTATTCCCATGCCTTCAATCGATATGTCATCTTCGCCCTACAATCGCAAACCAAAAATAAATGTATTGCATAACTCTTAAGAATGATGAGACTTTGACTATCAATGTCTGTGGTTCTCCTACATTGTGCACTTCACTCTGTTAGCTTGACGAATGGAATAAAAAACAGTTTCTTACTGATAAATTTTTTCACTATATTTTTAAAAGTCATTGAACGAGGTTGACAGATAATGCAAAACTCTTTGCAAACGAGAATCGAAACGGGAATCGGTGATAAATGCTACTGGGATAAATCGAGTATAAGCTGAAATTAACCACGAGAGAGCTTGCTTACACAGTTGTCGTCTTCGGTTGAATAGAGATGTGTCCGTAGGTTGTTAACACTGTCCCGCTTTGATAAAAACAATTAGCTCTACGCAACCTGCAGGTTTTTGACTACATGCAGATGCCAAACGTAGCAGATTGTTTTTAGGAACTGTTCCCTCAATACAAATGCCGAATCGATGGTTCTAAACTCGTCGCTTGACAGGACGCGCACTTGGCCTGGGCTACGCAAACAACGCACGAAACGACATTCAGACTAATACGTTTATCGTTAAGCCGGAAATTTACATGGACAACCATTTGTCAGATCAGCTGATGTTGCAAATCGTTAATTTAAGTGAAGTGAGGTGATGATGCGTCTGATTGTATTACACTGTGCTTGTACCAAACATAAATTAACTGAACTTATTGTATTCCAGCTTATCTGTTGCTCTCTCAGGTCATCCTAATCACTCTCGTCGGAAACACGTATTCTGNTCGATTTTCTGTGTTCAGATCTTTATTAATCTGAAATTATTTACTTACTTACCTGCTTGCTTACTTACAAATGGGCTTCCGTCCGGAGGTTTTTGTTTTTCGTTAACTTCTCTGTGCACTGTGACCAATAAACAGACCGTACAATGCCAGGTTTTGCAGTTTGTACAATTCTTTCCTTCAGAAGTGCTTGGTCTGTTTGCCAGTTTTTGCTGTCGTCTGTTTGACTAAGCACCGTCATTATCATCTTGATGACTATGTTCACACGAGTTCCAAACGTGGGCCGTGTGATTGTAAACTGTTAGACAACGTTAATGTCGTCGCTAACTAATGTATCGTGTGACATTTCACCAATTACATATGAACTATAACATACTTTTGTGCGTGTTTGTGTGTGCGCCAGCGCGCACATCTATCTGCGTGAATATTTTATTTTGTTTCGGGTTGGCGATTGATGTGTGTCTCGTCCCATTTGATTTATCAACCTCGCAGTCAACCATGCACCGTTTAGATCGCGGGAAAAAAATCAGCTCACATTTGATTAGAAGGCCGTTGATCAGGGCTGATTTATACTTACACAAACCAACAGTAGCTTCGTAACCGGCTCCACAAACATCTGCCAGTCATTTCTATATCATAGAATGCTTGCACCGATGATTGATGTTTAACTCATTAAAGTCTCTTTATGATGGATATTTTTCAGTTTAAGAATTTCAGAATGCGTAATTGACACTCCGAACTACTTTTCATTTTCCTTTCTATTATCTACTCAAGCATCACGCTTCTTATATAATTCTGCTAATTACGCTTGCCACTTTGCGTATTTCGTTCTGATGGTTAAATACAATCACCGTTTACCATCCTATATAGACGGATGCTTAAATGATAACGCATTCCGTCGTTAACACCCAATAATAAAAGTCAAAAATTGTGTATCTTACTTATATCTTATTCCTTTTCGGCTGTTACTTTTTTATCAGTACACTTGCATCCGACGGTATCTGAATCAAATGTACCTAAAATTCTGGTTCTTCAAGTTTTTTTACGCCTCGAAGAAAATTCAGTTTTTCGTTATTCAGTATACCTAGAGAGGAGAAGCGAGAGTGGGTGCGAGTTAAACATGGCCTGGTTCCAAAATGGATGTTTTATCCAAGAGTAAAATGTTTTTTTTCGTGACTTACTTAAAGTTGCGCAGATATATGCCAAGTAGATAACAATGGTAGACAGTTCCAATCTCACCGGGTTTGATACCGTGTCGACGTAATTGAGGTTTTATGTGGATTTTCGTTCCATGTTTTGGTCATAGTGTTATAGCGTCATACGTTCGGTGTGAGACACCTAAACGAAATTCCGTGTGGGTTGCCCGAGGGTTAGAGACACTGAGTGATGTGGCTGAGTGTCTTAACTAGTGGCGTCGGGTGGTGGTGGTGCAGTTGGTGCAGTTTGAACCCTATGGTCCGAGGTTCGAGCAGCAACTGTCGCCCGGTTCACTACCACACCTAACCTATCGGGGCCTTATGTGGTTCGCCACTTCAAGTCCTGCGGGGCTTAGATTACCGGTTTCCACCATTAAACAGCCGGTACTTGTTACCATGGGGCTTTCCCCGTCTGCTATTCATCACACGAAAGTGTGTAATAAACAAATCTTGTCAATTTCTCTGCAACACTCTGAAGTTCTAAATTTTCTCTTGTATCCAACTTTCCTGTCTTTCTCCTAATGTTCATCCACATGGGCAGCCAAAAGACAGCAACCAAAACCGGTGCACAATAGTGCATGGTTAATGGTTGTGCGAACTGAAACGGAAACTGTGGGTTGCCCGATCAAAAATCACAGCACCGAACATGTGCTCCAATGGAAAGGTGTGATTTGAACCGGCCTATGTGTTCAGTGTATTGTGGAAATATTGCGGTAGAGACAACAGCTTTGGGCTATCCCATTAGGTGAACGGATCAGAGGCGCTTAACCCTTTTTTTCTAGTGCCTGTTGTGGATGGAACAGTAGTTTCAGTTGAGAAACAGATTACTTGCTATATTGCACTCCGAATGAGAGGGAGAGATCAACCAAGTTGAAAGTATCATGTCCGATCATCAAATGAGGTCAGGTAGGAGCAGAGTATCCATGTGTCTGTCGCATGCGTGTGCGTGATTTCGATGGTTACATAGTTTGGCTCGGGTTAGGTTGAGTGTGAGCGGGTTGGCCGACTAGAGGTAAGCCATCGTGTGCGTGGGGAATTCGTTATCGTTATCGAGTTTAGATTAGTAGGTTTCGCTGCTTTGGACATGTATTGCGCTTGAGTTACAGTCCATTGCCACACCGCGCCCTGTTTGCAGTAAGCTCTGTGGGCTGGAGAAAATCATGCGGGGGCCATAGATGACGTTGAGGCCAGACATGAAAAGGCGCACACCAACTAGGTAAAATATGTATTTTTGGTTTTCCAGGATGCAGCCCGGGAGACTTCGTGGCTGGCTCGTTGGAGGCATTAAAAGATATGGCAGCGAACCGACTATGGTGGACTTGTTACTTTTATCAGGTTAAAATCCGTGATGAGGTGTGTACGATGTACAATTAGACTATTCTGTGTGCTGACCATAGAGGTTCATCTTCCTTTTTCTTCCGTCAAAACAGACTCACTCTCCATCTACCTTGCATATTCATACTTTGTTTATTGTGAATGTGACGGCGATCAGTGAAGTTCGCTTCACCGTATTTCTCTGTACGATGATAATGAATCACCCGGAACTTTATCGATGTGACAGTGAGCACTTGCTTTTTGAAATCGAATTCAGTGTTAAATCACCAAATAACGTTTTTTTAAATGCCAGAATCGGACGATGATTTGGAGTGCGGGAACTATAGAATTACTGAAGTAAAAGCGAATTTTGAACGTTGGGTCACTCTTACTGGAGGTTGAAGATGTAAAAAGCTATCCGTTTCAGGTTAGAAGCATCTTATCTGATTACCCGAGTAAAGTCGTCGATTGAATCGACATCTTCAAGCTTTTAGACTGTCCGATATTTTGCTGTTATCAGTCACCATTTGAACCGAAAAGTATTGCCCGTATCCAACGTCACATTTGTTTCGCAATCCAGTTAGACATGAGTATCCTGTTGATGTTTCTTTGAGGTAATCAAAGCGTTCGCATGATGCTGAGATCCGATCTTTGCATAGGGTGATAATCAATTGATGGATTATGTGGTAACCACATTTAATATGAGAGATAGTTTTCACCGACTGCAGATAATAACCTGTCGTCATTGTAACATATTCAACGAGTTTCTATTGGAGTCTTTTTGAGGGGCACATCGTTCGTTTGTATTTTACGCTATTCAGTTGTTACTATATTATTTTATTCAATAACATTTTTTATGCTATTTTTAACTTCACAACCCCCAGATGCAACCAGTGCTCCTCCGCCACGACAATGGCGTCGGTTAGAGGAACCAAGCAAAGATGGATGTAAGTGAACCTGCCAACTGAATACCTGAATCGTTTCCGAATCATTATTTATCATCCCACCCATGGAATACACATTCAGTTTATCTACTTCTGTTCCCTTATCACGCTGCCAAACCCTGGCATATATCTTCCAGAACCTCGGAGATATCTACTGTCTGAATTTATCCCCATTGTTTTGCGTTCCCGATGCCCATGAATTGTCATTGAATATTGGTCGGCAATCCATCGAAGACACTGCACTGAAAATACACACGTAATGTAGCATTGGAAAAAAGTTGCGTTTGTTTTGGTTTATTAGCGAATTCAGTAGAATAGTTTATTGTCTATAGGTGTCCTCTGTTCAACCCAACGTCCTAAGTAGATGATGTTTCTTATTAGACACTGCATACTGACAGTCGCGAGGATGTGATCCCAATTGAATCTGGGCTGTTCGAGTCTGAGGCTGTTTTCATTCTTAAAGGGAGTGTGTGTGCGTGTAAAAGTGATGGGGCTTTTCCCATCAAACCGTCAACACCGTCACTTCTCGATGATGCCAAACCGCGTCAGTTGTTCACCACATTGAAGAGGTCAGTCGAGTTTACACAGCTCTTATCGATTGATTACCAAGGTTGTCATAGCAGTTTCAGGTACCCGAATGAATACCGTTTTTTTGTCGTCGCTTTTGTATGCCAACACGCTTTTTGTTTATTTCACGCTTGTTTTCTCCCTCCACTCATCCACGCTTTGTCACTTGACAGTCGCATTCACCTTGATGTGCTACAACCTGCTGTGTCCTAGCTACGCTACACAGAATATGTACCCGTATTGCCCATCTTGGGCACTCAATTGGGACTATCGAAGACGAGCTATCCTGGATGAGATTCGTGTTTATCACGCCAACATAATATGTCTTCAGGTAGGTGGGTTTTAATCTACTTGTGTTCATTGCTGTCATGAGCTAGTCAATTATACACTGTTACACGAAAAGTGGGAAATTGTTAAAATAGGAATGAGTCACTGAGAATATTTTTACATCGGCTTTCGTTATTTAGATTCTCTTGTGATGTTTTACCCATTATAAATGGTGATCGGTACTAATCGTACCGTCTCGATTAACGCGCTTTGTTCTTGGTGTCACCATTCTTGGCGATCAGCTGAGGCTTTTTCCAACGCCATAAACGAAGTCTGTTTGAATGCTTTCAGTTTGTTCGGCTTTACCGTCAGGCGGAGTGAACTTGCCGATGAGACTAATATGTTCTCTTTCTTTCCGCCATGATTTTTTCAACGACACATTCCTTTTTCATATTGTTCCGTGCCTGCTCGACTAAGATGTGGGTGAATGTGATCGCATACATTTGTTTGTCGTTCATTATGTAGGAGGTGGAAACGAATCAGTTCGAGGAAATTTTCAAACCGGAACTGGCCAAACTGAAATATGACGCGGTTTTTCTTCCCAAAAGTCGATGTCGCACCATGGATATGAAAGATGGCAAGAAAGTGGACGGTTGCGCCATATTCTGGCAGGTGGATAAGTAAGTCAAACGATTCGAGCATTTCTAACCGCTATTTATATATCTAAACATCGCGAAGTGACTACATCTTGTTATGGCTTGCATTTCTCTTCGACGCATCACTCGACTTTAATAGTCCAGGCTTATAAACCAAAACCAATTTTACAGTCGTCCAACTTGGGCGATCGGCTCGAATTGGCACCTCAGTCTACCAAACAGGTTGGCAATCGTTATTCCGAGCACTAGGGCGACTTGGTGCCGCCCGTAGGTCGGAAGCTGGGCTCTCATAAGAACAAATCACTGTTTCTTCGAACCGTAGCTATTCGGATCAATGGTGGACTTCCTACAATCCAAATGATACCTGAGTCATCTTTTGTAGTGTGAGATCGCGTCTAAGGAGTTGCTTATGCCATGTGGTCATTCACTTTCTGGTTCTCATATGCACACAACGGTCGCGCAGTTCTCATTCTAAGTATTCTTTATTGCCTATTTCATTTCCGTATTTGCCGCTCTTTCTTTCTCATGTATATATAATGATGTCAAATGGTCGCCTACTTTCTACCCATTAATGTGTTGTTTATTGTGTATTTGTATTTCCATTTGTAATCATTTCTTCTTTCAGATTTGAAAAGTTGCACGAATTTCATCACGAATTCATGTTTTCCTGCTCGAATATGTGTGAAAATCCGTCGCCTCTGATTGTCAATCGCGTAATGACGCGAGACAATGTGGCTCTCGGTGTGATTTTTGAAACGAAAGGTGCACCAGGTAAGGCACTGAGTAAAAAACTGTTCACCCATTGATGACGCTCTCGTTTTGTCTGATCGCACCCGTTATAAATAGTCTTTCAATTTAAAATGTTTCACACAACGAAGGCATTCTATCTGCTGTCATCGATTCTGCCTGGTTTATGATCTATCTATCATGAATAGCAATCTTCGATAGTCCCCGTCGAACATATTGTGAGACGCATGGATATGACCAGTAACTCAATGGATTCTGTCACCATCAAATCCTTGCCCCACGGAAAGCGTTTGTTTATACAGGGAATACGGTGACGTCCTCGAACTAAATGGTTGAATCCTACTAGAGATGTGACATCGTACTACTTCCTAAAGATCCCAAGACAACTCTTCGAAAGCAGAAACGCAAAATATTTCAGCTTCACGATTTACATCCACAAACCAAAACCAGTGGCGTCGCACCTGGATACCGAAGGTTATTAGTGTAGTTTGAACCTCGGATCCCGATAAACCGATGGTATTCAATGAAAATGACTTCAACCGGTCAACAGTCGACACTCATTAGGTTCCACATCGTTACGTACCTATTTGGTTAATGTGAGGTAGATAATGAAATACGCACTAATTGACAGTGTTTTATCAGTTCTACTTGCCCATATTATATACCAATAGTTGTATTTACTCCCTGTTGTTAATGTTTATCTTTAGGCCCCGATGGGCCCGGAGGTCGCCAGTTCTGTGTAACAACTGGTCATATTCATTGGGATCCGGAGCTTTCAGATGTGAAGATGATTCAAACTATTTTATGGACAGCTGAACTGTGGGCCTATATTGACCAATTTCTGACTGGCTCCGGAGACGTGAAGGATCGGGGTTCGCCGAGTAATACGCGTAATACGCCCCTGTCAAATCGCGTCCCAGTCCCCGGTCCATCTTCACCCGCGGCCAACATGCCGGTAATTTTGTGCGGCGATTTGAACTCGTTGCCAGAATCCGGTGTAGTCGAGTTTCTAATGCGAGGCAGCTTGCCCAAATCGCATACGGATTTCCTAAATAATGGTTTCAAGTATATGTTTGAGGATTGGCGTCTGTTAGAGAAATGGGCCGTGGACGGTGACACCTTGCGGCATCGATTCACATTTGATCGGGCTTATCGAGAGTCACAGGGTATGCAGTTGACAAATTTCACGTAAGTTTTATCTTTGTATGCATACCTACTAGACTTCAGTTGCTATGCCCGAATGGTGATCGCTTATACCCGAGACGAACAATTGCCTTGGTGACATTCGTATCCACCTCAGCCTCAGGTTGGGTAACCAAATGCCCACAGTTTTCGCTTTGTAACTTAACGGTTGATATGTTGCCGCACTGTCTTGTGGGTGAGGACGTAGGGTTAGGAGATCGTATAGGTACATAGTTGGTTTTTGCTATTAAAGCGCCCGTGATCGGGCTCACATGTGTATAATGGACAAGATGTAGCATGAATGACGCTTCCGTTTGAGTGTTTCATACGCACTCTCCTGTTGCCGCTAGACAGGCTTAACGGAATGCCATATTAAATCAAAATGAGCGTGCACTTCGGTCGATGCTGCAGCAATACTGGTTTGCAAATAGTTTTTCGTTGTTTTCCGGTTAGAGAAATGAAAGCAAGCGATCCGTAAGTGCAAGGGAGTTTGAGATTGGCGCTTGTTGCTCATTTAAATCAGTCACAACATCCGCATTATACTAATCTAGCTTGGAACATGTGTGCGAGTCCCCACTAGGAAAATTGGCGAACAAAAAGACACCCATCTGGATCGCCCAATCACATCCTTGAATAAGTTGGTTGAGCTGTGGGCATGTTGAATATCGATATTCCCATGAGTTGATTCGTTTAGAAAAATCAATTCGTAATGTACGAATCTGCTTTAATGAGCTTGTGTACAAGTGTTGTGGCAAGTTAGGTTGCGTTACCGTAAGATCAAGCTTTCACGCGTGCCAAACGTTTCTTTGTTTGAGAATCATTTGCACTATTTGATCAGGATTATTAAATGAGAATCAGTTCTTACAACCAATAACCATGTAATTTCGTGCGCCTGATTTTGGTTGCTGTCTTTCGGTTGCCGCTTTGGATAAAACAGCAGAATGAAGATTGAAACATCGAGAGCAAATTCTAGCGAAAGATAACGAATTCATGTAGAGTGAAATTACATTAAATGGGAATACTTAGTGTGAGCAAATATTTTCGGTGAATTCACTCTCAAACTGTACAGTCATGGTTCTATGAAACTAAATGATGTAAGGTTAAATAGGTATAGTCCAGAACACTCCCGATAAGTTATGTAATCAGAAGGAACTACTTGAATGAATTGTTGTGAGCACGAGTGATTTTGTCATTCTTCGACTGGGAGAGTTTGAGTTCTTGAACCTATGCACAATCAAACTTTATGACGCAGTTGCCTTGCGCCTCGGCAGTTGCTAACAGTCGAAACCTAACTGGTTGTGCTAGTCAATCGAGTGTCCGGTCCCTACTGGGTAAGCAGAAATCAAACCGGAAACCATACCAATCCCGCCAAGGACCAATGAGCGTAAATTATTTTTTTTCCATGCTTTGTGATGAGCGCCTTGTGTTGTTCAACCTACGTGAGTTACACGAAACGTGCGTTTGAATTGGCGGGAAATCATCGATGAGGCTGCTTATCTTTGCTATGATATCTTAGGTTAGCGGCATCAAAAGTAAATTGCACTGAGGCTTTTACGATTCCACTAACCGCTGTCATATCTCCTTCGACAAGAAGCTTGATCAACCACGTTTTCTTCAACGTTTTATGTATTTTCGTTGGTCTAACTCGTTCAGTCGAATTGCGGTGGATGAGCTGCTCAGAATAGTGATTTTCCAGAGGATTCTTCCTCAGTAATTTGAGTTCATCTTTAAAAGTATCCCCTGAACAGATTCATTGAACATGATCAAACTGCAGTCTTCACAGAACTGAAGCAGGCGATCGGCGTTATATGTTCACTGGTGAGTGGTCAACGACCTCATAGACGGGCTTTCGATGTGCTCTGTTTTTCCAACTCGATTGGTATAGCCGCCTGTGGGCACAAATAGATCATCTCAACCGAATGATTCTAGTGGGTCTATCGTGTAACTTCTCTTTTTGTGCATCTAGACTGTTGTTTCGCACATACGCCGCGTTGACAGTCGAACATCATTGGGCGTTCATTTTTGGACATTGATGGATTCAAACGTGAAATACACACTTGAAACCTCAGCCCACATTAGCGGCTGTTCACAGAAATCCAGTCGGTAAATGGGTCTTCGGCTCTTTCATTTGTTAGAATACCTGTCCCGAACTGAATAACCGAGCTGGACTCGTTTTTTCCTGTGTGCTGAGGTAGTACGGAAAGGAGAAACCTCAAGGCAATTAAGTGACTTGAATCACTGAGATCATGAATTCGTGTTTCCGATACAGGACAGACATCAGTCGTAAGGCACCAGGTTAGCTAGTCGACCCATCTGTGTGGAATTCCCCACGTTGAAGGCTCCCCGGTTCAGAAATTCGCTATTATTTATCTGCCTGGTAAGGCCATTTACTCAAGTCAATTATGCCTTACCGATTGAGTCACCGTCTGGAACCGAACTCCTAACCTAGAGGATCCCGAGACTCAATTTAGTTTGATTCTTCCCATCGCAACTTTCATCCATGATGAGCTCTTGTGGCCCGTCAAACGTCATCATTAGTAGCTAGCAGTTGCCCATTAACTGTTTCACCATGTGAAGATGCATTCTCTCTATAGTTCCTTTTTAATATTTACTCTGGTACGGATAAACATGTGAACTCAAGATCTCAGATTTTCCCCATCTATTTGTATGTCGGTCGCTAGTCCTAATAAAAAAGGTTTTATCGCCTTTCTACCGATTTTTATACTATACACATACACTACTTTTGTTAGATATCAATGAACCTATTCAGCTATACTTCCATTTTTTCTCCTTCGAATCTTTCAGGTATGAGTTCAAGGGGATGATTGATTATGTCCTGTTCTCACGGCAACACTTCCGTCTGTTGGGTAGTTTGGATCAAATCCACGAATCTTGGTTCATCGAGAAAAAGATTGTCGGTTGTCCACATGTTCATATCCCGTCTGATCATTTCGCATTGCTTGTCGAGTTGGAACTGGAACCGACACCTCAGTTGGCTTCACTGGTGGCTGCGCGTAGCTCTGCGCGAAGCCGTTGCCGTAGTGAAGGTGGTGTGGGCCTAGAGAACGGTCAGTCTAAATCCGGACCACCACGGGGTGGTGGAGGAAGCTCACTTGGTTGTAGCCCTCATTCGACCGGGGCAGTCACTCCGAATAATTTGGACGGACGAACGGAAGTCGGTGGGGATTCAGCAAACGGTTCCAGCGGTGGAACGGGCAAACATCGAAAACGCTAAACAGGTTCTTTTTACTTATCGCTCTTCGCCCTGGATACGTTTCTCAGATGATCGTGAATCGCCTTCTTGTTTCTATCACGCTCTCACTTTCTGAATGGCTCCTGTGCCGCTTCCTGTTTGAATCTCCTCCGTATTGGGATACACGGTGAACAAATGCGTTTGGGAGAATATGCGATCTGTCTAATATCTTCAACAGTTTTTGTGGATAATAACAATCTGGAAACTTCACGGAAGTCGGGTATATCTTCACACTTTTCCCTGTTCATCCTTTTGACGCCCCCTCCGATTATCAGCGCTGTGCTGTTTTACGGACATTCCGAACGCAACTGCTTTCTCCTGCATCCCTAGTCCTCGTATTCTTCGATCTCTATTCCCATCCCATTCCCTGTATTATGGTATCTTGGCGTCATCCGCTCTTTGGATAGCTCCACTGTTCATAGGATCCCGTATCACCCCGTAATCAGGCGTTGTTTTGCACCCCACTTAGCCTACCCAAGATGCCTAATCCTTCACACCTCACTCAGGCCCACCGTATCATATTCCACCGGAAATAAACGAAAGAAATCTAGTCGATCATCCTTGTCCTTCATGCCTCGTTCTATGGCCATTGTTTTCTGGTGACAGTTCGTCGGTCTCAGTGTGGTAGTTCGTGTGGAGTTATCGAATCACGTACGGTGTGCACTTTTCTCTGTACAACTATGATCACCGCTGCATCCCTACCGTTCATAAAAAATACTTGCGTAAATGTCTAAACATCATTTCGGTCAGAATTGGGTGTCGAGGCGGGAAAAGAGACTCCACTCCAGCCCAACCAAAAAGTTTTTTTCCAAATCCATCCATGTACATCTCTCGTTCCAACCCATTTATCTTAGTTTTATCATCTGTTCTAGATGTGCATCTGCTTCTCCGTCTCATCTAGTTTACATGTGCACATATATGATACGTATCAATCTTTGCGCATACTGTTTGTGTATATGACCTGGTACTTTTCCATGTCTGCTAACTTTCTTCTCTTATACCATCTTCGACTGGTTCTTCGCCCTCAGCTCCCCTCTTTGTTTTGCTGGTCGTTGCCAAAATTACAACTCAACCGAGCATGCACACAGCTAACGAAGTTCAGATATTCACATCAGTTCCACTCTTTACCACCCCTACCCCCCTCGAACCCTGTCATTCACAAATTTTGTCCATGGTTCTTTTCGCCTTCACATACACGCGTACCATGTCTTTTGAATCAGTGGTCCTGTCCCATCCTATTTTACAGGCAGCTTCCCAAATAGGTGATTCACTCCCAATCCCGGACGTCGCTGTTGCACATTTTCAAAACACTTAGGGCTATATGACTTGTGAACCACCGTTACTCTTGTTCCCCTACTGTTCATTAATAACAGGTAACGATATCTCCAACCAGAGTGTGATATTTGTTTAGGTGTACTTACATCATCCGTTAATTGATTTGTATCTATGTAGTTGATCGCGCGCAGCTTCTTTGTGTATCTTTCTCTCTCTGTGTGCGTGTATTTCCTCCTGCGGGGTGTTCACGGACAATTTGGCGTCCACATTTTCTTCATGCGATCCCGTCATCAGTGCCCAGAGCAGTATGGTTTCACTTTATGTGGGATAGTCGATATGCTTGGGTGATTGTTCTTGTATAGACACTACGGTGATTATGGGTCTTGTTCTCTGTTATCCCATTGATCCCTCACTACCGGCGATCCGGACTGTTGTTTTATCTGACGGGTCCTGGTCTGTTAAATAGTCTGAAGTTCTTATGTTTCTATACCACTTCCTTTCCGCTCCATTAAAAACGTTCCCAGTTATCCGCGTGTACACATGTCGTATATAATTTTTCTTGTTCTATAATTTTTGGTTTCTTTTTCATCTCTTTTCTTCATTGGGCCCGCGTCCCAATCAGACTGGTTGACTGATCTCGGGGGTGAGCACTTGAGCCCACCTACTCCTGTTCAAGTTTTTCTCCCGTCTCTTATATCGGGTCTCGTATGTCCCCATATCGGCGTCATCTTTGTTGACTTTATCGTTCTTTGTCTGCACTTCCCACCCCTTCTCCCTCTGGTCCGGCCAATCTATACACATACTCCACAATCAATCAGTCCCTTCCCCAGTCTCAAAACAAACACGGAATTGTCAAATCACCAAAACATCTATTCCCTTCACGTCCCACTCTGCGGCCGATCTAGCCGACTCGAGGAGTCGCTCGTCGAAAAAAAACATTGCAAAACATTCTCCTTATGGTTTTCTCTCGTTACCGATTTTTCCTTTTAGTATCAGTACGGAAATCTCGGCATCCTGAAGGAGCTTCGGTTTATAGGCTAGTTCTCAGAATTGTTCATCTATTGGCAATATTTATTTTCTGGCTGACTCTCCCGAGAAGAGAAAAGCCGGTTTTACGAATAGCCCGAATTAGGACTGTCCACATTTCGCGGTAGGCAGCATGTTCTGTGCACGAAAATCAATGAATCGGAATGCTCTTGGTTGCTTTAAATTATGATGTGCTAGATGGTGGTGTAAGTGAAGTGTTTGATCGACGCAACCTACACAGGGATGGAGGCGATCTTGGTTTGATCGGATCCATGTGTCCTGTGGATTCGAAAAGATTCAGTAAAGGCTGTGTAAAAACCTCAGCTGCTACATCAAGTAAGTTGATGCATCTGCAGTTTTACACTTGGATATGCTATCCTTTTTAGAAAAGAAAATCGATGAGATTGATACGCTTCAGTCCGTTGAGTGGATACTTTTCCACCAAATTGAGTATAGGAGACTGACTGTGCAACAGGGTTAATATGATTGGAGAACATTTTACTAAGATTTCCACAGGCAATGCCTTCCCATCGGGTGTCTATTCGAACTTAAAATGTCTGATGTTATCAGCTGTTTGTTCTACAGGTGACGGTGTGTAACTGGTTTTGTATAGTGTTTGGTTATAGGGCGTTTGAGGTACTGAGTTCAGTTTAGTTCGGTTTATACAACCATTAATCATGCACCTTCGTGCGCCGGTTTTGGTTGCTTTTTCGGCTGCCCATTTGGATAAACAGTAGGAGAAAGAAGGTAGAGTCGAAATGTTCAATCTACTAGTTAATTCTTC